TGGGAAATGGGAATCAGCTCTATCCTTCCACCATGGGTTCTGCTATTGAACTCAAGTGGTCAAGCTGGACCCCAACTGCCCTTTCCTGCTGAGCTATCTCATTAGCAAAAAATGCACTTTCAAAAGCAGGCCTTTTTTCTGGGTGTCAGGACAATAGAAGAGAATCAGACACGGCCCCAGCTCTTGAAAAGCTCACATCTAGATGGAAAGGGGCAGCAATTTAGTGTTTAAGTCATAAGAAAGTGATATGTGGGGCTGGAGAGACAGCTCAGGGGTTAAGAGCACTTGCTGTTCTTGCAGAGGACCCAACTTCAATTCCCAGCACCCACATGATAGCTCACAACCACCCAAAACGCCAGTGCCAGGGGATCTGACACCCTCTAATGCCAGGCACACATGTGATATGCAGACAAAACCCCATACATATAAGTTAAAATAAACATTTAAAAAGAAAGTAATCTGTGCTATAACAGTGCTGCAGAATGGTAGGTGACAGAGGAAGTGACCAAGCTTGATGCTGTCATTTTACCTGTTGCTATGATTAAAACACTCTGACCAAAAACAACCCAAGGGAAAGAAAGGGTTTAATTCAGTTTACAAGCCACAGTCCACCACTGAGCAAAGTCAGGGAAGGAACTCAAAGCAAAAGCCATGGAGGGTCAAATGTTTAGCTAGCTTTTTATACAGCCTAGGACAGTCTGACCAGGGATTGTGCCTCCCACAGTGGGTTGGGTCTTCCTACATCAAGACAACCCCTCACAGACACCCCACAGGCCAACCTGATCTGAGAAAGCCTCAATTGACACTTAGGTGATGCTAGGCTGTGTCAAATTGGCAGTTAAAGCTAACCATGTGATGCTAGGCTGTATGTCAAACTGACAGTTAAAGCTAAGCAGGACACTTGTTCTCCTCATCCAATCCATTCAGATGAGCTGAGGAGGCCAGCTGTATTGTGCAGTTCAAATTATGTGTGTGGATGAATGCAACCTTCTCTTCTCTGGGAAAGTGTGGTTAATATGAGAGAAGCAAGAACCCGAGCTCTCGAAAGCATCCAGTTCCCAATGAGTTCTCTGTGCCTGTGCTACAGTGGTGTGCTGACACAGATGTGTGTATGGGTGTGTTTCAGAGCTCAGGCATTAATCTCAGCAGCCCCCAGGGTCCATTGCAGGCCATGGGATGTGGTAGGTGCTCAGTGGGAATGCATTGAGTGACCATATGTCTTAGTTTCCTTTTGGCTGCCATGATAAAATAGCCTGACCAAAACAACTTCAGGGAGGAAGGGTTTATTTTGTTATAATTCTATGTTACCGTGAAGCCACCGAGGCAGGGTCCTGAGAGAACTGGTCACATTAGATACACAGTCAAAAGCAAAGAACAATGAATTGACCCATGCCTGCTAGCGCTCTGCTGGCTCTCTCCATTCTATACAGTCCAGGACACCTGCTCAGGGAATGGCGCCACCCACAGTTACAATAGGGAGAGGCAGGCAGATCTCTGTGAGTTCAAGGGCAGCCTGGACTACAGAGTGAGTTTCAGGATAGCCAGGGCTTTGTAAACAGACCCTTTCTGAAAAAAACAAAGATGGGTTTTTCTACTTCAATGAACTCACTCAAGACAATCCCTCACAGACATTCTCAGAGGCTAACCTTATTCTGCGCAGTCCCTTACAGATGTGCCTAGAAATCTGTCTCCTAGATGTCAAGTTGACAGTCAATGCTAAAACTATCACACCGTGGGTGTGTGACATCCCAGAGAACGCGGTTCTGAGGATGGGGAGAGTTTTCCAAAGGAAGGGAGGTTTTCCTTCCTGGTGGCTGAGACATTCTGCAGAGGCATGACGGCGACAGAAAGGAACATAGTAGTTGGTACTAAATCAGTAATCCAGTGTGGCTACTGCAGAGGGCACGTGGGAGTGTGAGAAGTGACGAGCTAGGAGCCGGGCAGGGCCATGAGCGAATGATGAAATAAAGACTTTACACTTTAGACCAGCGGGGCCAGGGGAAGCCAACACTTTCCGATTTATATTTTCAAAAGACCACTCAAGCTGCCAGTAGCAAAGCAAGGATCAGGGCGGGAAGCCTTGGAGGACAGAACGGAGGAAGGGAGGCCACGCAATAGTCCAGGCGAGAAACCGCGAGCTGTGAACTGACAGCAGCAGCTGTCCCTGAGTGATGAGGACGGATGGGATGGGAGGCAGGGCGTGACGCTGAATGCTTGTTATCTCAGCACCCAGGAGGTGGAGGCAGGAAGAACAGGGTTCAAGGCTATTCGCGGCTACATAGTGAATGTAATGCTAGCCTAGGCTACGTGAGACCCAATCTCAAAAAGAAACAAAGAGAAAACCCCAGAGAGGCAAGGTGGCTCAGCAAGCGAAAACACTGGCTGTGCAACTTATGCCCAGCAAAAATAATTTTCTAAAAGTTTAATCCAGAGATTTAATCCAGAGGTTCTCAACCTCTGATCCTTTCATACAGTTCCTCATGACCTCAACCATAAAATTATTCTCATTGCTACTTCATAACTGTAATTTTGAAACTGTTATGAACTATAATGTAAATGTTTTTGGAACTAGAGGCTTGCCAAGTGGGTTGTGACCCGCATTTGGGTGGCAGAGGAAGGCAACTATCCGTGAGTTCCAGGACAGCCTGGTCTACACAGTGAGTTCTAGGACAGTCAGGGCTACATAATAGACCCTGTCTAAAAATAAAGAGTTTGGAGGAGGCATGATGAGAGGGTAAAGGTAGGAAGGAGAAGGCGGTAACATGGTGGTTCCGGGAGATGAGTATTCAGGAAACAGCAACCTACAGCGTGGTGAGCACTCAGGCATGACAAGAGTTGGATAGTGTTCACTTGGTTTTGGCAAGAACAATTTCAGTGGAGCAATGGAAAGAAGAGGATATGGTCAGCTAAAGAACAAAGAGCCCTGAGGAGCCAGAGTCTTGAAGTCTAGTGATCCCAGATAGCTCAGCTGGTAGAGCATCCATGTGGCTCAGTTAGCATCCACAAAGCCCCGAGTTCCATCCCAGTACCGCAGAAACCAGGCATGATGGTACATGCCTATAATCCCAACTCAGAGGATGGAGGCAAGAGGATCAGAAGTTCAGAGTCATCCTTAGCTGCATGGTGAGTGTGAGAACAGCCTGAGCTATGTGAGACCCCCTTACACACACACACACACACACACACACACACACACACACACACACACACAGAGAGAGAGAGAGAGAGAGAGAGAGAGAGAGAGAGATGCATGCACAGTTACTAGAAAAGACTCTACAAGTCTGAATTTGAAGGGAGAAATAAAGAGACAGCATCTTCAATAGGACTGTGGGTTGGTAGGATCTTTGTGTATGAACGTGTTGTTTGAACAGAGAGAGGGCTTTTATTGCAGACCAGAGACACTTGTGTATATGCTATGGGGGGGGGGCAGTGGCATACCAAATGTGTGTGGGGAGCAATCTGTTCAAGAGGAAGGAGTGTTTTATTACTGACGCGGGTTAAAATTGCTGACGCATGTTGCTAATAAAAAGCAGGACAACTTTTAGTCAGTTTTAGGATTGTTTTAAAATAGTCTATAGTCAGAGCCCTTATGCCTGCATAGAAATGGACTGCTTGTCTGCTCCGCCCACTAGTGACATCACTGGAAAGAGGCGGTAGAGGGGGATTGCAAAGAACAGTAGGGGAGGTGACAGATGGAATGTGACTTTGGGGGGTGGGAGTAAAAGGCAGGGGTCCAGAGTGGAGATGCCTTGTCCCCACCTTTCAGACTGTAGGAGAGGAGATAGAGGTGTTTGTGGTTTCCATAGCCAGATGTTGGGGGGAATTACCAACTCACGACCCCTCTCTGTGCTCTGCCAGGTGTAGAGCCGCCTGTGACAGGGTGGGGACAGTCAGATTCCCGTCTACTTCATGCTGCATTTTTAGAGCCTAGGAGAACACCTGGCTTATGGTAGATGATAAAACTGTGGGTGCTCAGGGACTAGAGATCTCTGGTTTGTGTCATGCTCCCCCTCCTTGGGCTGAGACCAGATGAAAGTCACCTGTAATGGCGTCACCTCTGCCCAGGGCAGTGGGGGAGCTGGGGAAAATCTAGGGCAAACTTCCCAAGG